ATGTTCATAAAAATTCACCAAAATGCAAGAAATTAATGTTTTCATGATCAGATTTCTGACGACAGCGACTAGAATCCACTCAGAACACACATCTCCATCCTTCAGTCAGGTTTAAATATTCTGACTTTTTTAGGCTCCACCTCCACAGCGAGTTACATGAATTTCATCCGGTTAGTTTTTGTGAATCTTTCTGTTAACGATCAGCTTTAAATGTGATTTAAAACAGAACCTGGTTCAGTGTTTGCTGCCCTGAGGCGTCACACGTGTCCTTCCCGTGTTCAACCCAGCTCAGGTGAAAGTTCATGAATTTTCACGACGTGATGGTTGATCACATCTGAGTCACTGACGGCTTCGTGGTTGAACCAAAAAACGCAGAATTTTTTGTTTTTTGCAGAATCTGGTTAGAAAAAACTGTCTTTTTTTGGCAAATTTTTCAAACGTGACATGTAGAATAAAGTCCAGATCAAACAGCAACAGTCGTCATTTCTTATATATTTGCATACCTCAGAAAAAAAGAAGAAGAAAGTAAATGTTCTCCCGGTATAGTGTGAAATAGAAATCAAAGCTGATGATTCTGTCTGTTTGTAGAGTTTCTGGCTCTGATAAATGGGTCGTTTTAGTGACTTTTTATCAAGACAACGTGCCGTTTAAACCCATCAGAACCAACCATAGAAGCTAAAGCGTTGCTCCTCTCCAGAGCTCCCATGAGCCGTTCTCTGAACCAAACCGTTGTGGTGTCTGAGTTCCTATCAGCACCAGACAGGAGCTTCAACACCACCCAGATGGTTAATGCGTCCCGGCGACACGTGACAACCGTTTCTCTGACGCCTCCTCCCGCGGCGCGACCCTCCGACCGTGGACGCGACCGTTTTCGGGAAAAACACAACATCCGCGGCGGAGAGTCGAACAAACCCCCGAGGCGCCGTTTTATCAGCGGCGAGTCCGGCGTCTGGGACAATAGTAATAATTAAATCCCCCCGTTTATCGGCGGGGTAACGTACGCTATCTGCACAGAGACGGGGCGTCTAGACTTGTTTTGGCCTCATTGGGCAGAACATTTAAACCCAGCGTGAGGATAAAGTCTGGATGTTTGCATCCAGACTGAAGGTCTCCTGATCAGTTTGTCTAGTTTTTGTGGCTGCAGATGGAAAAATGTGACAAAACAAGGCTGAAGACATCAACGGATCTCCACCAGGAGAGACAGACTTCACACATTTACACTCACATATTAAAGATGACGACCTGTTTTATGTGATCCGATATCTTTGCTGCTTTCGGTTAGTTTTAATTCTATAAATCTACGTTTCTTTCACGGCCTCTTCAGCTCAGACTGAAGCAGATAAATGTTTATTGAAGCTCAGTGTGTATAAAACCTATGAGCTGTTAGAAAAACTCTCTTTTTTTTTTTATAGTTATTATTCAGGTGTAGGACAGTCTGAGTCCTCTCCGTTCAGCAGAGCCGTCTGATTTGTGTGAGTTTTCACGGTGACAGTCAGCGAGTGGACAAAATGCTCCGTCAAACGAGACGCGACCCGGCGAGCAGCTGCCATGTGTGCTGCTTTAAATTAAAGTGACGCAGCGACGTAAACACTTGATGGGAAACGAGCTACAAATAGCCAGATTACAACCAGAGAGCTGGAGGAAGCTGATTGGTTCAGAGGAAACTGACGTTTTTTTTAACTAATTCTGGTGGATTTTGTGCTCATTTGTGAGTTTAGAAACTATTTTAAATCATCACTCTGGTCTTTATTTAAGCATAAAATGTTAGAAACATATAAAGACATAAACTCTGCTTATGAAACTGTCATAGTCTAGGATGGAGGTAATTTAATGGTTTAAAAGTGTGTTTGATAGAAACTTATGGTAATTTAAGCATCAAAAAATGTTAATTATAGTATGTGAAAAATAAAATAAAACCATAGCCTAGGATGTTATAAAGGTGTCCTGTTGTAGCAGGTTAAAAAACAAATAACATCCTCAGTATAATGTGATATAAAACAAGCTGCTTCAGTGGCCACTGGGCTGACACCTGACGGGACTCTGTTGCTTGTTTCTAACATTGTTGGAACCTTTTAAAAACATCTGAAGCTCCAAAAGCTGTCGAACAGAACCCGTCTGTTGTGCTTCTCTTTACTGAACGTGAACATTGTGGAGCCGACCGGCCTGATCTTCACCTTTACCTCCTTCATTCTCCTCCTTAGTTTCACTCCTGTTCTCATAATTATTGCTGCCGTTTGCCTTTTTTCTCTCAGTGCGTCACCTCAGTGTTTCACAGATAGAAAATACATGACGGATAAATATTAACTTCTCTTAAGCCGTGTTTGTGGAAAGAAGTTTTGAAACCTTTTTCTCTCTCTCACTAGTTCAGTTGTTCGTCGGCTCTCGTCTTGTTTGCTCTCGACGTGTTTCACCAGATTTGGAAACGGCTCCAGCCGAGCTGGCAGCGAGCAGAAAACCCAAATCGAGGCTTCAGAACTTCTCTTTAGAAACTAATGGCTAAAAGCTGCATTCATGTTTTTCTGCAGTTTTGCTGGTTGAACGCCAAGTAGGAGCGTTTGTCAGCTTTAAACGAGGTCTGGAAACGAGCAGCTCCGAGGCGGTGGAGGAGCTTTTAGCTGCTCTGGATGTTAACGTCTCTGGTTTTACTCTGCTGCCTGCTGAACCGCGTTATGTGCAAATGTCCACTTCTAGTTCTGTTAACACATCTCGTAGTCAGTGTATTTATTAAAATGTCTCATGTATACTGGGTCCCAAAATTATCACAGTAAGTTATATAAATATCATAGGGTATTTTTTTTTTTTTTTTTTAAAGGTATAGTTGTTTTTGTTTGTTTGTTTTTTAAGCAAGAATATAGTGTGTTGAAAAGAGTAAAAAAATAATAATAATAATCTGTGTAGTATTTTATAAAAAAATAGTATTATATATTATATTTTTTAAGAAAAGCTACAATATAACATGTAAGAAGACTTGAAATGTTGAAAAAATGTTCCAGTAGTTTTTGATTTAAACGTCAAAAAGCTAAAATATGTGTTAAAATAGAAAAATATTGTATTAAAAACATAGTATTGAAATAAAAAAGTCATAGTGTTGTATGTAATGTATGTGTGTATTTTTTAAAGGAAAAAAGTATAGTATTGTATAATATATATATATATATAATTAAAAAATATACAGTATACTATGTTAAAAAAAAAAGTCATAGTATATCTAAAAAAATCTAATATGTTAAAATAGTAAAAATGGTATTGTGTAAAACATGTAATTTTTAAAAAAAAAGTCATAGTATAGTATTTCAAAAGAAATAGGATATTGTATGTTGTAAAAAACAAAAAAGTAGAATGTATTATTTAAAAAAATGTTTAAAAAATAGTATAGTATTGTATAAAAAAATATAGTCTAGTATTATCTAAAAATGCCATAGTATAGTATATTTCAAAAATTCTAAAGTATAGTATGCTAATATAGTAAAAATTGTATTGGATTTAAAAAAAAAAAAAAAACAGTATTTAAAAAGAAAAAAGAAATGTCATAATATAGTATGTTCTAAAAAAAAAATAAATAAATAAAGCAATCCACAGTATAATATGTAAAAAAAAAAAACAAAAAAAAAAAACAAGTCCTTAAAAATTCTAAAATATAGTATTTAAACATGTTTAAATGCCTCTTGCAACCCAAAGCTGCCTTCCTGTTTTCCTGCAGTTTTCTTGCTGCTTAAGGAGCTCGGTGAAGTCGATCCGTGCTGGTCTGAACGCCGCCATGTCTGTTCTTTAGCCGCTGTCACAGCGCACCATCTTATTACAGATCTCATTTAGAAATGTTCACTTGTAATTATGTTATCAGATCTCATAGTCATTGTGCTGAAACCAAACAAGGCCTGTCTAATTCCTTGTTCCTTCATCATTATTAATGAAATAACGACGCGAGGGGCAATTTAATCGCGACTGCGACGCTTTGGCTCGTCTGACCAAAGTGACAGCGTGACACTCGCGATGCAAACTCCCGAGCAGGAAGCTGACCTTGTCTCCTCACCCCCCTGCCCCCGTGTCCTCTCTCCTCTTTATCTGTTCTCCTTGGTCGACTTTCCCCTGTTCCCTCCTCCCCGCCCCCTCTGCCCCTCTACCCCTCTGCCCCGCAACCAGATAACTTCCCACAGATGGCTCATCAGAAGCGCTTCATCGAGCGGAAATACAGGCAGGAGCTGAAGGAGATGAGACGAGAGCGCGAGCGGCAGGAGAAGGAGACCGACGAGGCGGACGAGGCCAGGAAGTGACGGCGCTCTTATTTTGGCGGGGGACCGAGCCAGAACTTTGACCTGATGATGGACTTTTTTTTTTACAGGAGTTGGATTCAAGGTGAAGTCGAGCTGCTGCTTGTCCACGGCTTTTCAAAATAAAAGCGGGACGAGCAGAATCAGCAGCGGTGCGGCCTTAAGTTCGTCTGTCGCCTGGTCATTAAACATAGACTAACTTTTAAACAAGCAGAACCTCAACGTGTGACAGAAAGATGTTTAGAATAATAAAAACAAACAAAAAAAAGTAAATAAAGAGGCAGATTTCCAGCTTCAATCTGATTTATTCTTTTATTGTAATCCTGCCCTGAACCACTGAGTCAATTACATTCAGCCACTCCAGTGTCACCATCTGCCTCACATCTGCCACTCATCCTCTAATAATCAAAATGTGATTTTTTTTTCTCCTCTCTCTCTCTCTCTTTTTTAACCTCCCTCTAAATCCGATTGGCTGTCGAACAGATCTTAATTATAGATTGTCTAATTAACAATTTTCCTCAGCTTCAGTCGCCTCTGGATCCGGCTATTTAACGTCATATTAATAACTGTCTGACACGCCGAGTCGGCTCTTTTATGCTCAGATTTGTTCGGAGATAAAATACCTGCGAGACGGGTTTCAGCCGCTAGCCGCCTGTCGCGCTTTTTAGATAAAAATTTACAGTCTTAACTCGACGAAGAAGAAGAAACGGAGAAAACCTCACAGAGACAGCGGATTTTTAAAGATGTTTAATTGTGTCATATAAATATTCAGTACAAAATATCACGGTTTACAAAGCAGATCGATGGATGGCCCCCGTTACACTACCACGACCTCTCAGAAGTTTGTTTCTACATCGACAAAAACTCAACTGCTCGACCACATTTGTCACCAACATAATATAGCGTAGCGGAGTCGAGGCCTCGGAGGCCCGACCGAGTCTACACACCAACAACCACAGATCTATTGTACCCGGAGAATAAAGGTGGTGGAGGGGAGGGGAGGAGGGAGGAAGAGGGGACATCAGTGTCACCATCTAGTTGCCTCAAAAAGAAAGAAAAAACAAAAACCTGTTTTGCTCTCAGCCGAGCATGGCGCCAACGCTGGGAGGCAGTTCCGCTCTCCATAGGAAAACACAAGCGCGCCTCGGTAATGGCGATACGCTGACACCCCGCGTGAAGACGGGAAAACGGTGACGACCGGAGAGAAGGAGCTGCTTTCGGTGAGTGCCGCTGTCATGTCGATTTCCATTTGAGACCTCACGTCGCACCTCGAGGCGGCGAAGCGGTTTCCTTTTAGACTGAAGGGTTTTTAAACCCATTAAATGCTTATCATAGCGCCGCCGCCGCCGCCGCCGCCGCAGTCTGAAAACGGCCACTTTACACAATGGGAGCTCCGGCAACAGGCTAATAAACAAAACAAGGGGAACACATGTACACGAGCGTAAAGAATTCTCTGTCTTATCAATTGGCTTGTTTATTGGGCTGATGGAAAGAAAGGAAGAAAAAATAAAACGTGGCAATTATGTCATTGTGTTTGGCTATTACTGCTTGAAATGTCTGATAAATGTCAGCCTCCTCACAGTCTGGCCTTTTGCTAAAGTGAGGCCACGGCTTGTTTGATTTTTTATTTATTTATTTTTGCCTTTCCAAGCTGTTTATTGGAGGTCCAAAAGTAATTTGATAATGTTTAAAGAATCGTTTTCGCGTCCTCTTTTGTTTTCCGAGCCCGCTCCTCAGATTCGTGTTTTCGCTGCAGGACGACGCTCTGACCTTCTTCGCCGAGCCGAGGACGAAACCTTCTGGGTCTGAGAACCTAATTCCACTTCGCTCAAAGGTCAGGTGCCCCCTCGATAAGCATCTTTATGGAAAAGGCTGTTTGTCCCAGAGGAAATCAGCCGGCTGAGGCCCGAGCGTTTGGACCAGTACGGTACATGTGAGGGGCTACAGTAATGACTGTAACGGAGAATACTGGCGCTTCTTCTTTTTGTTTTTTTGGCACGTTTGAGCTGCTATGGTACATTATTTTACATTCCACTGTGCGGGAAAGACGGACGGAGCCCTTCTCGGGATGTAAATCAAACGAGGGTAGATTTACGTCGGGTTGGGCGTCGACAAAAGTCCCCATTGAGAAGTTTTAATTTTCGATTCTGCTTATCGGTCAAGTTATTCTCGGTTCACCTTCACAAAAAAGGTTAAATTCTCAGCTTCCAGGTTCCTTAATAGACCCTATAGATCCACCCTGTAAGTGTGGTTTGATTACAGCAACACATGAGCTGTTGTGAGGAAGCCACGCTGATTTTGTTACATATAGTTTCGTATATTCACGAAAGCTGGTGGCCAATAAAAGTAGAGCTACTTGATCAGTTGTCAACTTTGATCATTAGTTGGATTGAGTGAAGGCATTTTTATAAAAAACCAAGTCAGTAAACCAAATATCTTGCTTGGTTGTGGAACCAAAACAAGACATTTGCCATCTTGGGCTCCTGCAAACGACGACTTTTCACCATTTTCTGACCCAACGACATCAATTAATTGAGAAAAAAATCGTTATTTGCAGCCCCTACTTTAAACAAACCCTTTACGAGGACGATTACAGTATCGCAGTCTTCAAAAAAACAGACAAGAAACCACCGTCGTTACTTTATCTAGCTGTGTTTCTGCTGCTGACATTTATCTTCGGTAAATAGCGCTTCAGATAACTCTGCTGGGAAGAACATTACACGAAGAGAGACTCTTTATTTCTCTTCTGTAAACACAACATAGAGACTTCCAGTAACTGTTCGGCGTTACAGTAACTTTAATGCCCTTAGAGCCAAACTTTTCTTCATAACAAACCCTCTAGTTGACATTACCGCCCTTGATTATACTCCTTTAGTTGTTGTTATACTACTTTCTTTTGGAGGACTACGTTTCCTTACATGCACGTATTCTGCAGATGAACGTTACGTTATTGGTTTTAGTGGCTCATGAGTTGTGGCTGTGCAAAACCTTCGTTGTTAAAAATTACACGAATGAATGCAATTACTGTGTTTTTTAAGCGTTTGTTTCCCTGGAAGATGGACGTACCAATACCACCCTATAATAGACGTACGTTAAAAATGTTCCCGAAGTAAAAGTTTGTGACTAAAATCAAGAAAACACACAGTGGTAATAACAGTAGTCGATGCAGGAAAAACGCCTCCTGTTACTGTTTTACTATAATAATCAATGTAAAAGGAAGATTTCACTGTTGTGGTGAGAGCTGTTAAGAACCGGAATCGATAAGCAGAATCGGAAAAACGCAATCGACACCCTGATTTTATCCCAAAAGTAAGAACTTCAAAGTAAGGAAGGTCATGTAGTACAGTTATACTTTATTACCTTGAGGGGTGGGGGAAAAAAATCCAGAACATCTAGTCTGTAGGCCGTTTGTCGTTGTGTAGATTAGATTATTTTGTCATTTAAGGCAACTCTCTTTATTCATTTGCTGAACTTCGTCACATGAAGGTTGGAAGCTTTGCAGACGGACAGAATCGGATTGGACACGTCTGGATGTTAATCGAAGTGTTCGTTGTTTCTGCCGCTTGTTACACTCGTTTAAATCCTGTTTTTCCTTCATCGCTGGAACAGATAAAATGATCTGTTTAAGGGGGAAGAAAATAAAAACCGCATAATGAATTTTAACGGCAACTATCCACGACATGTTTAATCTAATGTGATGCTGTAGTTTCAAGCTCAGCGGCGTCACGGATCCTCCGACGTTTGTAAGCAAAAAAAAAAAAAGGCCAATGAGATCAGTGTTGTCCTCGAACTGAGCCTGGAATCTTTATTGTAGCGTAGAAAATAATACTGCTGTGTACTTCACTTTTCAAGAAAAACTGCTCTGACGACATTCAGCTCAACAAGGAAATATTTGGTATTTCAGCTCGACTCACAGCGGACGCTCGAAGCTGTGCGGAGATGAAAATCAGATACTGTAAAAATGACAAAGTGGTGCGTCTGTTGTAGCCACAAATCCCACAATCCTCTAACCGCGGCTTCAAAAGAACATTCGCCACTTTTCGCTCCTCTCCCATCCGATCCGGTAACGAGATTTTTCCCGTGGCTCGAACTCAACGGTGGTTAACGTGAGGCAGCCGTCGCTGAAAAGGGGGGATCGTTTGGAAGATAGAAATCCCTAGAAAAACAAAACAACTGTACAGCGTATCGTATCATATTACCGTACATACACAAGCTAAGATAGAACTCACAATATGCAGCATGTTTTTGTCCCAGAAACACTGAAAAATACATAGGCATATCTGTTGGTTTACAAAACTGCTTGCTGAGCGTGTCCGTCACAGGCAGCTTTGGAAGAAAACGAACCAAAAGAAACCAAAAACAAAAAAATATCGGTATAGATATATTTGGGCCTCGTGTACACCCCATATACACACACAAAAAAAAGTCTCGACACAAAGTCTCTTTTTACTGTGCCCTCGCAAAAACGCAACTAACACGGACTGGACACACAAAGCCTACGTCTGGTCACCGGAGGGACGATGAGTGGTGATCGAAGGCGGCGAAAGAGCGCTTGGACGAAACCCAGCTCTTTTGTCTGTCCTTGAAATCGCCGCACATGCACCAGAACTGCCCGAAAGTCTTCTACGTTACTTCCCTGTCTGTGTGCCGAGGCTCTCGTTAGGAATCCCTGTCGCTGTCGTCGCCCCCGTACATGTCCGCCAGTTTCTTAAACCGCGGCCCCCACTCGCTCAGGTAGTTGTAGTCCTGGTCGCCCTCGGTAGTCACCGACTCGAGGGAGCTGAGGGACTCCGCCACCGAGCCGTTGCCCTCGTAGGCGTACGTGGCCAGGGAGTCGTAAGGCGGCGCCGTCGGGTCGCTGTCGTTGTCCTGGAGCCTCTGGTTGATGAAGTCCCTCACGTCCCCGTTATTGTCCCGGGTCGGGGGCAGAACTGGCCGTCGGACCGGAGGGTAGAAGGTCTCGGGAACGATGTCCCGCCGCTGCTTGCTCTCCTCGATGGCCTCCGGGTTGCGCAGCGTGCCGATGTCGAAGGCCTGGGTGTCCTCCTCGCCGCCGCCCTCGTCGTTGTAGCTGACGACGTTGTCCCTGACGTCCTCTTTGGAGATGATCAGAGGCTCCTTCTTCCTCTGCCTCCTCAGGGCAGCAAACAGCACCACGATCACTGCGGGGAAAACAAAGAGAGCAAATAAAGAGAGTTTGGTGACTTTTGCTGTTGTTTCTTTGCTCCCTCTCCTTGTTCTGAAGGCCGGCGACCGTCCAGGGGGAATTGTTGATGGTGCATGAGTGTTCACTGATGTTCAGGGACTTTGTCTGACTTTGTAGAACAGCCTCTGCTACCACAAGGATGCATTATGTATTCCTCCCTCCTCAGGGCCACTGCAGCTTAAGAACATATAGGAGGCCGGTCTAAGTACACAGCAGAATGAAGTGTGTGCGCTCCAAAGCCAATTCCTGTGCCATTAAGGAGCATTATGACATGTGAGTGATGGCACCGAGGTGACCCAGCCTCTTTGACTTAAAGGAATAGTTCTTTGAAGTGGGCTTGTGTGGGTACTTATCCACAGATGTACAGTAGATCGACACGCCCCCAGTTTGAAGCAGCAGAGAGGACCGCTGGCAGTGAAGCTAAGCAGCGAACGAGGTCAGCAGCGAAAATGTATTTCAGACACCTAAGAAAATCAATAGCCGTTTAAGCGCGCGCTATATTTAAAATATTCTTCCCGCTTTACCTTGCCGTCAGACAGCCCCGTCCTTTAGCACTACAGTTTATCTACAGAACTTTGGTGTTCCTACACAGACGTGCGCTACATACCGTATTATTTCATAGATCAGCAGGGTAATCCAGTCCACGGCGCCGGTGCACTTATGCGCACAAATACAAAAAGGGTTGTCTGCCGGCAAGGTAACATTATTCTATTCAGTCTGGTCAACTGTAGGCAACACTTTGACCATGAGTAAGTACCTTATACAATCCACTCCACCGAACAAACTATCCCTGCAAGTCAAACATGGAATCAGTGGTGGAACTGTATACCGGCCTTTCTACAATCACGGAAAACACAGTTATTACAGCCGTGTCTCCCGTCCAAGAAATCAGATGTAATGATGTGTTATGACCGTGGTAGATAAAGTTTTTTCTGCATTTGCAGAAAGTCCTTGAGGCTTGACTAGTACAGCTGAAGCATCTATACTGTGTTAAGACTGACAGAACAGGTAGGAAAGGTGTTTTCTAAGCTGATCCTGCTGCCCTATTAATCTAAAACGTATAGATACAGTAGAGTATTTGCATTCTTAGCAGAGAATTAAGTCATACTCTCTTCTGTCCCCTGGTTGCATGTTAGTGCATGCGAGTCCCTCCCGTTGAAACTTTCAGCCCTCATTACGCTTTAAACAGACCGAACTTGACCTCCTGCATCGCATTGGTAAAGAGAAAATGCAGTCCAGTGTTCAGCTGGTGCCCAAAAGAGTTTTTAACAGGTTAATATTGGCACAAACCAAAGCTCGATCCTTTGTTTACATCCAGTCTCACACAGGTTTTGTAAACTTGAACGTTTTCTTAACAAATACACCTGTTATTTATGCCACTTGGATGTAGAAAACACTAACGTAGATAATCCCTGCTTGATTTAACAGATATGCACTGGCCATTAAGCATTACAGAAGACTTTGTCCATTTACTAGGTAACTCCTCTGCTCGCCTCCTCTGGTCACTGCAGTATTAAATGGTGAGAGAAATGGATTAGCTGTGGCGCAACAAGGCACTACAACTAATCTACAATAGTCACTGTGTGTATTATCTAGGAAATTAGTGTCAGATTGGCATTCAGTATCATCAGATACCAAATGACTGGAGACAAAGAAACGTATGTGGACATACACACAATCTTCAGTGTTTTCTACGACTGTTTTGCAGCTCTCCTCTACTTCTCTTTGACGTCGCTGTCTTTTTCACTTTAGTAATGTTATGAAACAGACGGAAAGATCTGGACTAAGCAAAAAATTATTTGGGTTTTGGGGGCAGTGGGGCAACGCTGGACTGCACTTTGGGTTTTTAAATACAGGGAGGGTCAACGGTTTTCAAAGGAGGGACTCATATGCACACAAACATATACAGAAAAAGTGTGACCTTGTGATCTAATAAGGATACTATTACTCCACTCTGTCTTTACAAAGAAGTCAGTTGTTTACCATGTATTAATGTTTAAAATCTGCCATATTGCTCCTTTCAAACTGCACCAGGCAACAGTTTTTATGCAATATAGTCATCTTGCCATCACAAAGCAGGGTGTCCTGTTCAGCCAGTTGAGATGCTGTAGATCTTTGCTGCTAAAATCAAATTAAAAAGACAGCTGTGGTCACTGGCAGAATTATCCGCCCACAGGATGTGATAAATCAAATTAAGGAGCGAAATATAAAACTGTCTCTTCAACACCTGCCAGAGGTTGCTTTGCTTTAGTGAGAAGCTCGCAAATCCTATTGTCAGTGAAGCCTCCCTGGTTAAATAGCACTCAGCTGGAACAACAAATGTTTTCCTCGTGCCGTCTGCACTCACCGAGCAGGATGATGACGCAAAGCAAGATGGCCACCAGGGCTCCGGTGCTGAGCCCCGCCCTCGCCGTCAGCGCCTCGGCGTTGCACAGCTTCATGTTGCCTTCGCGGTCGCAGGTGCAAACTCTGATGGTGAGCGTGTTGGTGCTGCTCTGCATGGGGAACTCTCCGTCGGATATGACCACGGGGACGTGGTAGATGCTCTTCTGGAGGCTGTTGTAGCTGTTCCTGCGTGTCAGGATCCAGGCCGTGTTGTCTGACAACAACACAATATCCAGTTACTATGCACTGATCAATAAGCCGCATGAATATTTCAAAGTGTCGTGTGGATGTGTTGTGAGGTAAAAAGAATATCAATAAAACATCTACGGTACGGTTCAAACAGTTTGTCAACATGCAAGGATCCCAAAAGGGAACCTTTTACAGGAGACTGAAGCTCATCAGTTGAGAATCTGTTACCTTTGTTGTCACGGACAGAGAAGTTTGCTTTTCCTGCAGCGTCCTGTGCAAGACTGAAGTAGAAGCGATGTCCTACGAGCGGCTCGTCGGGATCCGTGGCGCTGATGGTTTGTATCCTCTGGAACAAGAAGCACGCTGCTCGTTAACACAGAAACTTTAAGAGAACATATTTAACCCTCTGAACACCAAAGTAGTACACACCAGACAAAAATTACAGCGTTTGTCAGAAACAGAAAGAAGTGTTTGACTTTCAAGTTTATGACAGTGCTTGAACTACTCATCTGCATCGGAATACTGAACCAAAACTAAGTTTAAAATAACGGTATTTTGCCAAAACACGTGCTGCTGTAGGATCGTGGAGGAAGAGGGTCGATGAAAGTGGAGAAAAGTGTTTAAATTAAATCCCACCTCCTAAAGGGCGACTGTTATATGAACTAGATCGCACCTGAAACCCACTGACGACGAACATTTACTCCAGCTGACGTGAAAGATGCAATATGTACAGGATGTGATAACGTGAGATTGTTTTGAAGTGTTATGCTGTATATTTATAGATATACATATCGTCTATTTTTCATTCTAAAGTGTTTACGTGGTTCCATGAATGTCTGACTTTAGGCAGTTTTCAAAGTCTCTCTTTTTAGATTCTTTAAAAAATGTAAAATTCTGCGTTCCTTGGTGCAACTGTGAAGCCATTAGCGACTCAGCTGGGACCAACAGTTACGTGACAAAAATTCTGGGATGTTTTGGCTAAACATAGGTAGTTTTGCAGAAACTAAACTGTTTGGGGGTTCAGAGAGTTTGTGTCTACAGACGACTCTGTGTCTGCGTCCGTTTTTTAACTATTTAACTGGATGATTTCCCCTCAGACCGATGTTTACATGCGAGGATGCTAGTAGCAGCTAAGCTAATCATGCTAGCCTGGCTGAGCTGTAAACTGATCATTTCTGAATGGAACAGCGTGATTAAACGAGACTGTCATTAGCTAATAATGCACTTAATTAAGCACCTGGCAAACGAAGGTACTGCATGTTTTCTAAACGACAGGCCACCTCTGAGTCAAAGCGTGTTTCATTGACAACTTTGCCTACAATGACTTCAAACAATCAGTGATGCTAAAGTGATTAATTTTCTCCCGGTGATGTCGTCGCTCCGACGGTAAACCACGTAATTAAAGATATCCACAGTACAAGCTCATTAATGTTAACATCCGCCGCTGTGATAAATAACCTGGCTGTTTATTCAGATTAAAGGGATCCTTCGCTCTTTGGGGAATTCGTAAAGACAAATAGTTAAGGGCGCGCTAACGAGTGTTAAACCTCGGGAGTTTGTCTGACGGTGTGCGAAGACACAAACGAGGCTTCCAGCACTGAACAGACAAGCACCAAATACCTTTTCTTTATGTAGATTACTTCTATTCCCAAGAGTCTAAATTTGACAAATTAGCATGTTGGAGACTGCTAGTGTCAGAGGATGGTTTTTAGGTTGTTGCAGTTTTCAATCTTTTCTGGGATTTAGCGATCTTAGCTTAGCATTATGATACCTTTTGTACTTGAAACGCACTATTTCTTGACTATGACACTGCTGTTTTTACTAAATTATATGTCAGTTATCGTTCTGTCACCACCTTATTTATGTCCAGTGTCAGAATGTAAAGCAGTGAACAGACGTTTTAGGGAAATTGTGGCTCTCTGTCAAGTCCTTCAACAGGAGTAAATATCAAGAACTGCTTTTTAACTAGTTACAAGTCGACACACCCTTGATGTAATTTGACGAGTAGTAATTCTAATTAAATATATCAGTCATTTAATCTTGCTAATGGCAATGTTTACTGCAGATTACTAGAATACTAAGAGTTTAATCACACATGTCTAGACTCCAGTTAAAACCAGAGGAAGTTATATTTGAACTAATCATAATTATATTTAAGATTTCTTCAGTTCACTTTACAGCTCGTCAGGGTTAAATTTAAGATGTTTAAAATGTTATTTCCAGCAGTCTAGATGTCATTGCAGATACCTTGAGTGATCCAAAATGAATAAAGCTAATTAGGGCGACATAATTGTCTTAAGGTTTCATCACTTTTGTGTTCATTAATGTTGGCACATTTTGCCAAAGTCTGGCCTCATTGTCTGACTTTTGTCTGTCAAAGCACGTCGTTGTTTTTAAATCTGCTGCACAAATAAGTTTATTATCATCATCCCAACTTAAATTGTTTGTTGATGCTTCCAAAGTGCAATTATTGGGACGCAATGATTCGGCTAGCCACGGTTCTTTTTTCAAAATACAAAAATTCAATTAAGGTTATCTGTAATGATCAATATTACTAATGATAAAGGAGTCAGTGGTATCTATAATTACACAGATTTGTGTGTGTGTGTATATAAATTAACATTTTGACATGTCAAATTGTAATTTTCACAGGTGAAAACTAATTTGCAGCTCGTCTGGTCCACTGATTAAATGTTAAAAGGGCTCTGCTGGGTCATCGTCCTATTTTCAGTGACCACTAAACACTTTTTTTTTTTTGGCTGGAGACCTGATTGTGAGCACAAAATACTTTTATGTCTGATGTGTTGTTCCACCTTTGTCTTGGGAGAAATAACCGGCGTGGTTGTGTGACACTCTGACTGTGGATCTGTTCTCAACTTCTTCAATTTATTCGGATGCAGAAAGTGTTCTGAAAGCTGTTTTCATCGCCCTGAGTTGTGAAATTCTTCCCTTCTAATATGTAAAAGCTTAAAATCCATAGGACATGTTCACAAATTGTCTCCGAGGCCTGTTAATTACACACTGCACTGGAAGAAGATCCTGACGAAGGAGTGGAGATGAAACCATGACGACGGCCCTGCGCTTGGTAAGAACCAACCTGATTAGCCTTCGCGTTCTCGCACACAAACGTCTCGTAATTGGTGGCAAATGTTGGAGCGTTGTCGTTGACGTCCAGCACGCTGATGTACACGGGCACCCGGCTGATCTGTCGTGGGTTGTCTAGGAAACACAAAAGGCGGACACAGTGAGTTTACACCAATAATTACACGTACATGTGTGCAGCTCTGCCCCCCTTTACTTTTTTTTTTTCTCCAAGCAAACTAATTATACCTGAATACTATTTTTTCTTCAGCACTTACTTATTTAATTCAAAAGTGTTTTCTTTCCCGAGCCGCTGTTACTAACGTGAAATATCTCTGCGAGAAGCTTCACTGACAAAACAAGTGAAAACAGATTTCAGATCTACAAGGTAGCGTCGGTTAATTAAAGTACAGTTAAATCCAGAGAAAGAAACGGAAGGGATATAGCGCTCGGCTAAATCTGCCGAGAGCAGGTCGACCCTCAAAAACTGAGTGACTGCGCAAGAAAGAGACGAGTGAAGGAGGCCACCAAGACACCTGTGACTCCTCTTAACTTCAACGGCTTAGACGGGAGACGTCACCAGTCAGAGCTTTAAAGGAGAGCGGCAAAAAGGAAACCATTGTTGGAAAAATAAGTCTCAATTGGAGTTGACTCTAAAGTCAGCTGGAAAAGCTTACTGGGTGTGATAGGTCCACAACTTAGCTTTTTGGCCATCAGACTAGATGCAAAGTTTGGCGGACACCAAACACTGCACATTATTACAAACGTATTGTAAAGCACGGCGGTGGCATCATCATGACGAGCCCCTAGAAGGTAGAGGGTAAAGTTAATGCAGCAAAGTAGAGGAGGATTGTAAAGGGTGACCTGACCAACGTGGGAGACTATTTGTTTTTCAGCAAGAAAATGACCCGAAGCAAACAGCCAAAGAGACACAGAAACAGTTTAAAGGCTACAAGGTGAATGTTGTGGAGTGGCCGAGTCAGAGCTCAAAGCTTAATTCAGCTGAGAATTTGTGGCTGGAGTTAAGAAAAGGTTCTGCTCACCACGATCTCTGTGCAACCTGAGAGAACCTGAGCAGCTTTGCATAGAAGAATGTGGTAAAGTTACAGCATCCAGATGTACAAAACTTATTTACACAGGCTGAAGGTGCATCTAATATAGTGAATGTTTTGGATACTATAAACAGGCCCTGTATGCGTGAATATTTGATTTTGCAGATAAAATAAGATCTGAAGTTGGAAATTGCAAGTTTGCAGTAACATCAAAGAACCAGCATCGAATTGAGAAAGCCTGAACTGTGAGGAGAACCCACAGCCCACACCACCACGGGTCTGGGAAACAAACAGCAGCGACCAGCCACAGCTTGAGTTCAGCATTCAGAGATTAGTGTCAACTCCAGAAATCCAATTGTTTCTGACAGAGCAGGAGGAAAGGTGCGAACGGCAACGTCTGCTTCCCGTCCCGGCGGCTGCACTTACTGAACTCGGTGGCGATGACGGAGATGTTGTGCCAGGCGTTCTCCTCGCGGTCCAGCTCCCTGAGGATGAACACTGACCCGTTGCCTGCATGGACGTTGAACACCCTGTCCATGTCCGTGCGTCGATCAATAGAGTACCTGCACAGAGAAAACACGCAGCGGTTGTGAACTCGTGTTGGGGAAACGGCTGCAGGTGTGAACCGGGGCGTTCACCGGCGGTTAAATTGACATTGTGAGTGACGCTGATTGACATCTGTCAGCCGTCTGGTGTTCACGCCACACGAGAACGAACAAAGGAGGGGAAAAAAAAGATTAATTTTAGCATCAATGCAGCAGAAACAAAGGCCAGCTTTGTTTAAGAGAACAAAATTGCTTTCTTTTCTACCTGTGCAAATGAGCTGCAGGAGTTAATTACAGCTTCTAAACAGCTCAGTTTACAGGAATCACTAAAACGTTTCCTCAGTTAGCCTCCGTGTTATCGAAGCGGCCAAGTTTTCACAAATCTGCCTTTGAAACATCTGACACAACTAATGCGCCGTCGAGGTCTCCTCACAGTTTTAGGTTTAACTACACGATGTTTCGTTTTTCATATTGTGATGTGAAGTCGGGTAAATTAACTCCAACTATTTTTCTTTTTACTTGATACAAAAACAAAGCTCGATTCTCATTTCCCCCAAATTAATCTACAACAGAAGTCTGTCTGATAGAACACCATTTACTCCGATTTAAGGGTTGTTGGGTACCAGAGGTACTTTTTAAAGCTTTGAACATGAAGGCTCCATAAGTGCACAGCTGAAAGAGCATGAAGCAGTAAAGACACCCTGAAAAGGAAGATTTGTTTGTGAATATATACGCAGGTTAAGACAGAGCAGGCAGAAGACGGTCCAGCCAGACATCAGAGGAAGTTTCATCGTCGCTTCGTTAGAGAAGCGTTGGCTGCTTAAGTCTGTGTAAAAACAGACCAAAAAAATCATTTCCTTCTTTAAAAGATGATTCAAACTGATTAACCAATTACAAAAAAAAGCTGGCGATCACTTTAATGGCTGAAAACTAATCGAATATCGGCTGCTGAACTCAGAAATCAGACCGAAAGCAGAAAAACTTGTGCACATATCAGCCAAAATATTACGATATCGAGACACGACAACTAAATTAAAACTGTATTTGTTGGGAAACTGATGGTTTAATAGACATAAAGGCGCTGCAGGACAGTATTTATCATTTTTCTGAACGCTATCACAGATTAAATAAATCATTTTCACTACTTCTGACATTAGCACGGCCGGTTTTGCTGCTACACAGAAGAGTTGTTTACTTGTTGGCGCCTGCAGACGATGCTAAGCTAATGCTATCGCTAAGAGGTTTGCCGAGCGCTCTCTGCAGCACCGTAGCATCTTCGTAAAGTGAGACTAGCTTTAATAATCCGCTTTAGCCGGCGATACGTCTCTCTGGCAGAGATGAAACCTGCAAAAACTGAACAAGAAGCACGAACCACGGCTACAACAGCTAACGTCGTAGGCAGCCATGATGCTTTACGATATGGGCCTTAGTGGGTGATTTAAGTGACAGAACAGTAAAAGAACAGCAGGATGGATTGAGACTGAGCATCACGTGATGCTGTGACATCATCACTCCTATTTCTACTGTACATATTTAATGAAGACGCCTGGTTAAGATTAAGGTTTCCTGCTATCTTATGCTGTTAAAATGTGAAATCTAACGTATACTGGTTAAAAATGTCGGTTATCGCTCTTTCCTGATGTCCAATAATCAGTACCCGCCCTGGAAACACCAGACGAGTGGCTCCCTGAGGTTTCCTCGCCTTGAACAGTCCGTCCTACGCTGATGGAGGATTTCTCAACACACACACATTAGAGCCAACAGGTTATCCAGTCGTGTTGTTTTTCTCTGCTTCCAGGGCTCCTGCGATACATCAGTGTGATTAATGGAGTAGCAGGCATCAGGAGGGTCGGCGTAAGAGGAAGGAGACCCCCGAGGGGAGACGATGAACCGGGTCTCTGAATGCTTCCTCTCCTCCTCCCCCGCCTCCCCGGCCCATCCTCCTCCAGCGCTCCGTCTTTATCCGAACCCTCCCTCCCGCTCTGCCTCCACAGTAACTCTAACCTCGTTAAAGCTGCGTCGGCCGTGAGCTTTACTAATTGCTTTTCTAATATTCCCAATAATTCAGCCGGCCGGGCCTCACCCTTCCCCTGATTAATGACGGAGAGATAACGGCGCTCCTCGTCCTGACCGGGCATCCAAAGTGCTGCTCTCAGCAGGCAGGCAGCTGGCCGGACGGGAGGCCGGGCAGAAGGACATGGAGGGTTACACAAACGTTAGCCATCAGCGAGACCGGACAGATTTCCTTTCACCGCGCTACACGACCGGCCGGCTCGCTGTGGCGCTTCACCGAGAACAAAAGGGTCAACGGACGTCCAGCAGGAGGGCCGAGGTCCGACCCGAGCAAAGTTAGACGGAGCTGCAGCGGTGTGGAGTTACGGGTGAGAAAATCTGGCTAAGAAGGGATTATTAGAAGAAGAAAAAAACGTGCATAGAGATGAGCTTTTAGGTGTTTAATCAATGACCAGAGAGGAACTTTAAATTATTCAAGACGTGTTGGAGTTCTCTCTACTTCTAGTCACGGTTGTTTCTGAAGACGTGAAAGGACTTTATGTTGCCGTGAAAAACGAGCCGACAGTGAGTAAAAATGTGACAAGAGAAATAGAAATAAAAGGTATAGTGAGCCGTTTTATGGAAAGAAAGGTTTATATTCTTAAATAACACCCAGAAACTACTAGAACTGATTATTTTGATCAGTTATATGTGTAGAAATATACAAAAAGATTAGTTTTTAAGGGTTTAATCAATGACCAGAAGGGAACTTAAAGTGATTATGCGACAAAGCTTCAACTAACGAGTGACTCTGATTAATCTGGAGGCTCTTCTGATGCATTCAATGATGGTTTGGTCTAAAAATAGTTAAAAACAACCCTCGTTTAGAAGTAAAATAACTACAGTTTTAAAGAATAATGACACATGAGCACTTGAAAAAAATGTTATTTGTTTGTCTGTTTTTACATTTTTGTGAGATTTAACTTTTTTCTTCTTCTTCTTTCTTGTCTCCATAGAGCTGCAGGACTTTATACTGGAGTGAGAAATGAATCTACAGTGAAGGAAAATGTGGCAGGAGCAAAACAAAAAAATCCCTAAACTTCTAAATATGTTTATTTCATAGACAGAGATGGAGTTTCAAGGATTAAATCAAATAACTCTTAAAAGATTCCATTTTTTTTACGAGTATTGTGAACACAAAAGTTGTTCATGTTTACTTCACATGTTTTCTATTTGTGTGAAGTTAAGAACGTCACTTCTTTATTAGTTTCACTGACAAAACTTCTGACACATGACAGATCTCAGCCGAGTCAGTGGATCTGGTGCAAACATGTAGAATAAAGTGATTTTGGTGAAATGCTGTGATTTTAAAACGTAGATTTTCCCGACAGAACCACAAGTCGTGCATAATATGCTCAAAAACAGGCAGAAAGTCATTGATTTTCTTTCTTTTTTTCCCCTAAATTCACAGTTTCTGTCTAAAATAATTGGTGGAATTTTGCCGATTTCTTATTTTAAAGGTAAAACGTATAAATATTCTAAACTCTGGCCTTGTTTCACAGCTTCATCCCAAAATGAGGAAATGTACCTGAAAGGTACCGAAGGGAAAAGCCGCCGCGTGAACTTCCTCTATAAGAATATTACATCTATCTAATTTATTCCAATAGCAGGAGCTCCCATTAAATACATTATTTAACCGATAATTTATTGGGGAGTTCATGACCGGATCTGTCCTCGCCGTAAATATAAACAGCATTAAAAAACACCGGAGCCTCTGCAGAGACACTTTGTTCCTGTTCGGTTTATGAAACGCCGCTAAACAGAGAAACGTGCCAGAAGTTCACTCACACAACTTAGTTAATGGAAATTATGCAGGTGTTCTATTAAATGGGAGTAATGGCAGCCGAGAGCGCGAGGCCGCGGCTCGACTCCGTCTCCGACTTTTTCATTTTTACGACGCACTGAGGGAGTTGGCTCTCAAGGTTGAAGTTCCACCACTTTATTGCAGGTGTCAAATATGATATCATTCTCTTTTATCGCCCATCATCAAGGAGGGAGCTACCCTGTGGCATTTAAAGCGGCGCTGCTGCAGAGGAAGGAGGAGGCCCGGAGGCTGCCTGGCAGGAGGAAGTCTCCCAGTCTCTATTAGCTCCACGCAGACACGTGCACATGCAGGACGACGAGCATCTGCAGCATGGTAACGGCCTGTTTCTTATCAGATATTAGCGGGTGATGAGCTGTGATGGAAACCTCTCAACATAAAAACACTGAAGGTTACCGGAGAACAGTTTAAATCTTAGCTGTCGTGGAGCTTTTTGCACGTTGTTTCAGCTCGACTTACACTCCTGCATCGACTCCAGTATTACTCAAAGATAATTAAAGAAACTGCTTGTGTTAAAGTAAACGTAAAAGGCTGTGATTGAATCTGGCAAACACAGGAGCCAGTGCTGTGCCAACGGAGCCATATGTTGTTTTCTGGTTGTCACAGCTCCACTAATCCGTGTTTACACTCTGGGTTGTGGTGTTCTTTGGTTAAAAAAACAAAAAAAAACAACATTTATTAGCTCTAAACTCCGCTGTCACAGTCTGAAGTACACAAAGTATAAATGGTCAAAGGCAGGACTATAAATCACGCTTCAGGGGAGAAATCCTCAAACGGTGCAGCTCGGACAAAAATGCCAATTTGAACATTTATGATGGTGTGAAAACTGCCAAATGTTTGGAGATTATCCTCTGAATGAGTCCTGAGGTTCAACAATAACTAAGTATGGTTAATAAGTGAGTCTATGTTCTATTATCTGCATTTAAAAAAACAATATTTCACCATCTGGGAATACGTCAGAGCTGATACGATCACATTATTAATATCAGAAGTCATTTTTAAGACCAAATTGTCAAAGTTATTTTAAATTTATCTGCTTTTTTCTGCTGTAAACTAAATGTTTTGGGGCGATAGATTGAGGAAACTATGAATTTTTTTCCCGTATTTTTTAATCGATACACAATAAAAAAACGCCACATAAATCAGAATCAATCGTTATTTGCTGCCCTGACACACAATAATTTAAGGTTCCTCTCCGGTCATCGATTTAACCCTTAAAAAAATCTACTCTGTGTGTAAAAAAATGACACATTTAGAAGTTTTTCTCCATGAAAACAGTCCCTTTCTGCCATAAAATGACTTTGCTGTACCTCTTATTTCAGCACAGAGCGTAAAACGGGGCGTTATTAGTCATTAATGGTTCTTTTCTGGAGCTTTCAGCCACGTCTGAAATCGCTGGTCTGTCTCGCCGAACGGCGGAGGTTTGAGTCAACATGAATGATACTGAAAGCGAGACGCAGATAAAAGACAACCATTAACAGTGGGCGTTAAGTTGGCATTAATTGTTTTTACTTTGACTGATTTAATTTCCTTCCACGTGAACATTAATGGAAACGAACGGCTGCCGGCAGCCACGAGAACAAAAATATGCGTTCAAATATGTAAAGCTGCTCAGTGTGAAGTTATGAACGGTCTGAAAAATGTGAGAGAGCAGAAAGTTTTATGTGCTAACTGTGTTTACAGTCTAATATATATGTTTGGTTACAGGTTTTTAGATTAGTTTAAATCAGCCAAACAATTACTTCTATGTGCACTTTTAGGAACAAACCGAGACAGAAGAACAGATTCTGATGTGGCTGAAAGTTTTGGAAAAGAACCATTAATTAGAGCATCAATGAGCGACGACGCTCGTGTTTTTTACTGCACTGAGACGAACAAAAATACCTTTAAATACACCCCAAAATCTAAAACGTAGCAGCACATTTTGCAAAAAGGTTGACCTTTAAAATAAAATACATGTTTGGGACTATTTCTGGTGCGACCATCTCTGATTTTCCTGAATGTTTTTTCTTTTTATTATAAACTATCAGTATGTGTAAAGATATTATATTAAATACTTTCTGGGATAACACTTTGTAAATAAAGAAACCCACCAGTTGACCCACGTCGGCACATTTAAATGCCAATAATTCAGGAACTATTAAAGACAGAAGATCTCATCGTGCCGTTGATTCAGAATAGGTTGGTAATAAACCAAAGTCACAAGATGGACTCGGATAGCTTCATAGATGACAGTTCAGTCTGTTTCTTTACCCTATAAAGTGGGTCAGAAGGTTAAAAAAAACATTAATTTGAAGATATGTACTATTTTGATTATATTCGGTGGTACAACCTGTCATATCTGCCTCAATCAGTTATGAACGTTCATTTTTTTGATGAAGTATTTCACATTTAAAACTGTTCTACATGTTTTTCTTTTGTATTATCGTGACATGCAGCTACACACACGAGTTGACTTCTACACTCTTTCACCTCACCCTTAATCAATGATTGTTTGATCCAATATTGCAGATTCTGAATCAATGACGTGATGAGAAACAACAGCTTTTATCTTTAACAGCTCCTGAGACGTTGGGGTTCAAACGGCCTCAGATTTAGAAAAATCTGCTGAACGTGGGTTGACGAAAACATTCAAGCGACAATTTTAAACATCCACAGTTTATGATTTAAACAAAAGTTCCAAGCTGATCAGAGACGGTCGAGCAGAAGACCCCTGATGATGAATCAGAGATGCGGTTAAATACCTGACGAGGCTGTTTTTGTCGTCGGGGTCCGAGGCGCTGACCGAGCCGATGACGGTGTTCCTGGCGGCGTCCTCTTTGGCCTTCATCACGTAGCTGCCGTGCTCGAACACCGGCGGCTCGTCCACGTCCTCCACCACGATCTTGATGGTGGCCTCGTCCCTGAAGGGGCCCATGGAGTAGAAGCGCGGGTTGATGTGGACGTTCTCCACCTGGACTCGGAGGCTGTACTGACGCTTGCGCTCGAAGTCCAGAGGCTGCGAAACAAAAGCACGGAGACGGATGAAGAACTTCCTCCCGCCTGTTGTTTACTTTGAAACATTTGCATGCGTCAGCGTGCTCGGCTGTTGATTTCGGGGGGAACTAATCTCCATTCCGAGCATCCTGCACACATTTAATTTGAGGTCAGATGTTTTCCTTTTTTTTTTTCATTCATTAAGCTGACAACCTCTTCCAGAACGTCTAACGAGCACATGTGAAGGGTCTTAGTGTCTTGTTCAAGGACACTAACAAGGCCGCTGACGGACACACATGGGCTGCCGCACGGACCAGAACCGAGCTCTTATTGGACATTTCGCCAACTGCTGCTGAATAATGTGACTGATGTGGCATTTTGGTGGAAAACCAACATGACAACGACGCGGCCGGCTTAACGCGCGCAGACAGGATTCATGTCAGGCTTTGTAAGGAATCTGATTAGTCGCCGTTGCCTGTTTTTAACCGCACAAGTCCGTCTCCAAACCAGAACACGCTGTTTTTATTTTTTCTTTTCAATCAGCGTCTTGGATGTTTGTGCTTTTCTGCCTGATTTCCCGATCCGAGACACACCGCAGCGCTATGAAACAATCAATCAAAGTTGGGTTTCGATCTTCGCGGGGTGACATCTGTTCATTTCGGTGCTGTTGTCTTTTTGTTAAATGAAGAGATCAGTGCGCCAGATTAGTGGAGCGACACTTTGGTGTGGTGTTTCATTTGGCTACACGATGAAAGAACAACAGAAGAAGAAAAAAACATCTGCTTTTCTAATGTCTGAGGACGTGTTAAAGCTGGAGTTCAGGACGTTTGCATATAAAGGAGCGTCTGTTACGTTCACGTCCTTATCAACCTGTTCAAGTTTTATATTTGGTGTCTGTGGCGACATTCTGAAAAGTTTCTGATGCGACAGATTAAAGAAACTTCAGAGAAAAGTATGAACTTTACATAAAAGACCAGTGATTCCCACTATAGCCCCAACATACTCTGCTTTATCGTCTATTTCACTCTAAATGGGGCTGCAATTTACTAAATTAGCATCATGCTGTTTTCAAAAAGTCTTGAAACTAGTGATTGAGATCATAAGCTCTTTCGGTAAATGTTTGCTGAGGTGACAAATCAAGTGAGAAGTTGGCTGATTTTCTCATA